TGGAAAGAATCAAAAGAAAAAACAAAACAAAACAAAACTGTGCATTTGGCCCAAATGGAGGGCCAGATGCACCAAAAACTGAAAAAGTGAGCTGAAGGGCTTAAATTTGAAGCAAGGATCACCAAGGGGTGACTCATAATATTGTTGGCCTTGGATCTCAGCCAGATCCAAGGCTGAAAAGGCACCGAGGCATGAAAAAATACCTTGGCCTACCAAAAATGGGATAGAAACTGAAAAAATCGAGAAAAAAACTCACTAGGTCTTTTTTTCTCAAGTGGGGCTGCCCTTTGGGCATTTGGACTCAAGTGGGCAACGTTTTAAAAAGGAAACGGAGGTTGAAGGATGCCAAGAGGCAATCCGAGTTGGTACCAACCACGCGGACTGCATGTACTTGGCCAAAATAAGGCCCAGGTACCCCCGGAGGAGGGGCCTAGTGGTGGAGTTTTGCCTTGGGGGTACCTCGGTTTTCTTGGAGGCACATGAGGAGGCTCATGGGTTGACTGGTACTCTGGTTTCAGCCTATATAAGCTGAGGGAGCAGCCCGCCACACTCACATTTGCATGAGGTGTGCCCGTGCTGCCAAGTGAGCTCATAAGAGCACTTCTCTTACTTGGAGTGAGGAGAGGGAAACCCCTGTCAGTTTGGGAGCTTAATGTAGACTGTGGACTAGTGTGAGGAGCTTTAGAAGCTGGTGGTAGTGCGGCTGGCCTAGGAAGGTGGTCCGCCATAGCCCCAAGGTGTGAGGAAAAGGGAAAGTCTCATTAAAGTCTCATTAACCCTCCTAGAGGGAAGGACTCCATAGCCATGATGAGAGGAGTTTGTCATAGCTAGAAGAGGACTGAGGAAGATGAATGATGAAGGTTTGAGGAAGAAGGGAGCAATAGCCAAGTGGAGGAGAAGCATCATCAAGATTGGTACTTCAACTCCAAGATATTAAAGGAGGTGAGTGGAAAGAAGGATAATTTTTATTTTTATTTTTTTCCTTCCTTTTTTTTTTTTCTTCTCCTTTTTTTTTTTTTTTCCCTTCTTCTTCAAACTTCTTGTTCTTCTTCTCCTTCTTCTGCTTCTTCTTCCTCCTCTCCCATTTCTTCCTCCACTTCTTCCTTTCCAACTCCTCCATGTTCTTTCACCTACATTCTCTTTTGTTCTCCTTCTTCATCTTCTCTCCCTCCATAGGTACTTTCCAAAGCTTAGAGTAGATAGTGGGAGGTTTTGTCACTAGTAATGGTCTTCCTATGGACTCATACTTCATTCTCATGTAAATCACCACTTTCCATTTTATGATTTCATACATTCGTTAATTTTCTCTCTATTTCTTCACTTAGTAGTAAATCACAACTTTGGGTTGTGCTATTTCTAGTGTTTTGGCTAATCTTTCACTCTTGTTTTGTCCATTCCTCCACTCTTATGTAAATCCCCACTTTCCATTTTGTGATTTCATGCATGACTCCCTTCATTTTCTCTCAATTTCTTTACTTAGTAGTAAATCGGGACTTTGGGTTGTGCTCTTTCTAGTGCTTTTGATGATCTTTCACTCTTGTTTTGTCCATTCCTTCACTCTCATGTAAATCGTCACTTTTCATTTTATAATTTCATTCATGAGATCTCTTCATTTTTTCTCCATTTCTTCACCTAGTAGTAAGTCACAACTTTGGGTTGTGCTCTTTCTAGTGTTTTGGATGATCATTCACTCTTGTTTTGTCCAATCCTTAACTCCATGTTAATCACCACTTTCCATTTTGTGATTTCATGCAAAAGAGTGGGTTTCACCCACTCTCCCTTCATTCTCTCTCTATTTCTTCACTTAGTAGTAAATCACAATTTTGGGTTGTGCTGTTTCTAGTGTTTTGGATGATTTTTCATTCTTGTTTTGTTCAGTCCTTCACTCTCATATGTAATGACCCGTCATGACCCGTCATAACACAGACTGAGAACACTGCTGATTTCTGAAGTTTTGCCGATGAAATGGATGCCTTGATGAGATTCCCGCATTCTGCTGTGTTTTCTAAGTCTGTCTATGTGTGTGCGTGCTTGTGACATGCATGCCTGTCTGAGTGCTTGCTGGTATGAGTGTGTGTGGGACCCACAAGGGTACTTGCTTGTTTGGTAGGCCCGTAGGGCCGGTACTTACCTGTGGCCGTGGCATTGATGGTTGTAGCAGGGAAAACACTCAAGTGGCGAAGCTAGCGGCCCTGAGGCCCTTGGGGTAGCGGAAAAACACTCAAGTGGCGAAGCTAGTGGCACTGAGGCCCTTGGGGTAGCGGAAAAACACTTAAGTAGGCCGGTAGGCCCATACTGCACCCCACTGCAGTTGACGTGAGGGGTATTGGAGGCTGAGCAGAAAAAGACAAAGTTGGCATTTTTAGAGTCCAGTAGCGGTAGGGTAGGTCTAGGCCGGTACCAGTCCAACCAGTCCGAGTCTAGAGCCTGTACGGGTAATATCAGGGTCTGCAATGATGTTTCCCTCCGAAACGGAGGAGGTACCGGTTGCTTGTAGAGGCCGAGCGGGCTGGAAGTCACCGCCCAAGAGGCAAGCATGCCGCTATATCTAGAGGCGGAGGCAAGAGCTCCGCCTCATTCTTCAATGTGCGAGTTGGGCGTCACGCTGCTGGAGTGCTAGGTGGTGAAGCGGTGGGCACTACAGCGCTGCTGGGAGGAAGAAGCCGGGAGCTTCCACCTTGGCTATGGTGGAGCTCTACCGGTAGGAGGAGGAGGGAGAAGGGGACCAAGGAGGAGAGTGGT